GATAGCCGTTAACATTGTTAAATTATATATACTTTAACAGTGTTAACGGCTATCTTGATTTATATATATATATATATATAAATTAAGAGAGTCGTTAACACTGTTAAATTATATATAAATATTATATATATATGCCTATATATTATATATATTATGTCCTTTATTCGAACACTGTATTTACCTTTCTTTGATGAGTTATATATATATATGTATATATATATATATATATTATATATATACATTTGATATAATTCAGCTACCAACTCAGTTGCCAATCAGAATATTAAATAAATTAAATTGAAACTGAAAAAAATTTAAATAATTCAACTAGCTTTAAAACTATTTCGTTGAATTTACAAACTAGTCAAAAGGCTATTTTCTTTTTGAAATTCCTCTTTCTTGAACTTCAGGTTCTCCTGGTCTGCTTTTTTGTGTTTTGCTCTTATAAATTTCTTTCCCTCTAAATAATATATACATAATGACAATTGGAGCGACACAAAGCGTAAGATTTAAAGAACGTTCTCTCAGTAACTAAATTATTCCTATGGCATTCCAAATTTATCTATATAAATCATGGCTTATTTATAGAGGCGTGCCTCTGAAGTTTGGTTTTGGTCTTCTTGTTTACTCATTGTCCATTCTGATTATTATTTCACTGTCCTATCTTACCTAGCCTATTGTTTTCAATCATGCTTGCACGACTTCTCACTATCTTGCTGTACTAGTGCTGTCCGAAAACTCTGGTTCTATTTCTGGCTGTTTACTTACGTTTAATTTTTAGCTGCTGCTTATTAAATTTGAATCTCTACCGAGATCCAGCCCTTGTTTGTTGTTTTTTCAGTATTTTGCCTTTTAATCTATACACACACACACACACACACACACACAAGATGTGTATAAGAGACAGATCTAGAGGTGCCTATTTTAAGATGTTCTTAACTAAAAAGTCAAATAGGTAAAGGGGTGTGGCATCAAATGTGTTAGTGTGTGTGTGTGTGTGTGTGTGTGTGGGTGTGTGTGTGTGTGTGTGTGTGTGTGTGTATGTATCAAACATTAGTGAACTCCCATAATTCTGTTGGTGTTTTCTTATAGGTATTGCTGCAACCTTTTGCTTAGCTTGCTACCAGTGTCATCTGTCAAATAAAGTTGGTGAAGCATGCATTATGCCCTGCTGTGTGCCTGGCAGCATGGTAACGTTGAGGGCTATGAAGAGAGTCCAACACAACATTCCTGTAAGTAAAAAACAATATATATATATAAAACAAAAATATATTCATTTATTTAAATACATTTTTCTACAGGGTAATTAGTAACATGGTCCTGTTTAACAATTAAACTCATAATAAAAAGACAAGATTTGAAAATTCTGTACAGTAAAAAAAAAAAAGACAAAAGAGAGGGTGGACAATTAAAGATTATTTTTTCATTAGGCCTAGACCTAATATAAAATATACGGTACTTGATTATGCATCGTCAGTTATAGGCCTATATAATTCTATTATTATACGGTGCCACTTTATATTTTATTCACCATAAATTATTGTTTTAATTTTATGTTTCAGGGAAGCGTGTTGTCGGACTGTTGCACTATTCTCTGGTGTCCTTGTTGTGCTTTAACTCAGTTGAAACGTCATCATGACGCCACGAGCCACTTGGTGTAGGCCTAGGCCTATTTGGCTCAATAGGTGATTGAATTTGGTTCCAGTATAAAGTCATCATGTGTTAACCAAGAAGTTACACAGCTAGTATTTTTACAAATAGGCCTATTTCTGGAATGTGATTATTTTAATTAAAGCCAATCATTAATGATGTGAAGAATTTCTAAATTAGTTAGCTATGCGACCTGCCATAGCTTATATTTACAGCACAGTACTATAGAACCAATATTAAGGGGACACCCTTGGAACCAGAAAAGTGTCCCCTTAATAGGGGTGTCCCCTTAATGGGGTATCCCTATTAAGGGGACACTAACCTAAAACGTAAAATTGTCCTTTTAATAAGGGCTTTGGTATGTTTTTCATATAAAGATAACGTAATAATAATAATAATAATAATAATATTAATAATAATTGTGTAGTTTTATATAGCGCACATATCCATCTAATGTAAGATGCTCAGGGCGCTTGATATGTGAACATATATTCTTTATAATTTCATATTTATTGACATAAGCAATTAGAACTAATTTATAAAGATATATTTCCCCTTGTTTCACGGAAAAGCGTCTCCTGAATAGGGGAGTCCCAAAGAAGGGGTTCTACTGTAATTGTATTATAGCAATTGTTTAAATAGCCGTATGTACGTATGTACTTCGAAAATGAGTTTGTAATATTAGTACGATTTCAATAATTGTTTGAATAAAAACCAAATTAATGAAAATGACATACTTTTAACCTGGTGTCCATGCACAAATTCCGATTACTGTTATAGGCTGGTTACAAAATATCAAAGGTGTATCGTCTGGCTACCGTACGTTTAACGAGAGAGCAGGAACATGAGGGCGGTACAGAATATGCATAAAGGTATACTTATTAAAAGCAAAAATACTACAACGTACTGCCAAGCCCAACTATCAATGAAGGCCCACGGAAAATATATAATGTATAGGCCTATATACACACACATCAATATAGTAAACAAAGTACTGTGCAGTGAAGTTATGCGAATTACGTATGACCCCGGCGGGGTCCCGGGGGCGAATTCCCCTGTGAAGTAGCGCAATCTGAACGTTCTTAGGACTGTTTTGAGAGGATAAAGTGAAAATTGCAATATAAATTGTATTATAAATAAGTGCAACAATAATTATATAATAAATCAACAACCTGATCCAGGAATTCGAAAGAGAGGTGAACCAGGGAGGGACTTTCACAGACCGAGGAACCATCCATTTTATCCTCAACCCCAACCACGGTGGGGCTGAGGATAAAATTTAGGATTAGGGCATCGCTAGATGGCCGGAAATTACACTCTCACACTTAAATTTGAATATATTTTTCTTTTTTTTTTCCCTTAAAAAATGAAGGGAGGGGGATGGCGGGCCTTGAATCCACCTCTGCTCAAAACATTCTTTATCCAGAATAGTCATAATCACGAAAAATTGACATGAAAAACAAGATCGACATCCTGAAAACATCAGGAGCGGATTCGATAGAGTTTGATGTCATACCCAGGGAAGGGCACAGATTTGTTTTGAAAGGTGGCGGGGGAGGACATTTTGAGAGTCAACACGCACCTCAGACCCACCATGGTTGGAGCTGAGGTGAGAAAATTTGAGGAAACAGTACCTCTAGATCGACGTTCCGCAAACTATGGTCCGCGGCCCAAATTTGGCCGCGAAACATTTTTAGAGGGCCGCGAAGCCGTCTGGAAATTGAAAAAAAATAACAAAGAGACGTTTTATCTTGGAGAAAATAGTTTTTAATAAAGCCGCTTCACTGTTACAGCGAATGAGTCGCTTGCACACGCTGCTAAAGTGCCAGATGATGCGTGCTATTTGAATAATTATAAGCGGTTTTGTGTCTATGGCTACTCGGGAGCCTTTATCTGTATATTTATTCCTGATAGTGCTAGTATGCAACATTATTTTCTGTAAATAAATATACAGTAAATATACCTTTTTTAAGCATTAAATACATGTCAAGCGCGGATCCAGAGTTTACCCTGGCTCGCACAGATGGGTTCCCATATTGGGGTGGTCATGAGAAGAGAGCTAGCTTGTTTTGTCGCTGGAAGATAAATTTTAGATATTCGAAAAGTTTTTGTTTTCTAGATTCTTTGAAATACACTTCGTGCATTATGAGACGTCTATTTATTGAATACACCCTGAATTCATATTTTTTCACTACAGTACTTTGCTATGGACAATTAATAATTATGATGATGAAGAAGATGATGATGATGAGGAGGAAGCTGTGCAAGATTAATTAACAGGCCCTTTGTTGTGAAGTGTCAAGCGAGGCCGGTAGCCTAAGTTACGGTTGGGCATTTGGAGACAGTATCATCGTCGTCAAATGTTCAATGCACACAGTCGGACAATGATGATTTATGATATCTGTTTTGTATATAGTAATTTGAAACCCATAAATTATCAGTTCAGGTATTCCTTTATCTGTATGTGGAAAATATAACATATGGACCATACAAAATAAAAAGAATTCAAATAAAATTTAAAATATGTTAAAAACATCTACACTAAATCAAAATGAAATATTCACTGCCTGTTGGATCCCAGTTTTAGTATTGCAGGGGTTCTGAAGGCTTTACAGTATAACCAATCCCCGTATTTCTGATAGATTGCTGATTAAAATGTAAAATATTTAAGATTTTATATTCAGTACATTCTCAAATGTTAAGTAAATCTCATATATCCCAAAATTACGTTATATTCATGCACCGAAGTAGAAAGTTTAACTTAATAATTTTGATATGTTTTATGTTGAATGGTTTTTAATATTATTAGTCTAATATGACCACAACATAAGGAAATCCTCTCCTTTAAACATCTAACCTACTAAACTTTGCGTACCTCAATAATACATTATTATATATTTTCTTAAATCAAGGAAGTCCACTCGTTAAATTAGTACATAGTATACCGGTATACTATAGAGAATTTTGTCTGCCAATCTCAGATATAAAAATATTAGGAAATCGTTTTATGCATGCACTGACATGAGAACTTTAACCCAATAAATTTGATATGTGTATGCTTTATGTTGTTTGTTGAATGAACTTCTTTAATAATAATATTACAGTCTAATATGACCACAACATAAGGAAGTCCATTCTGTAAATGTTTAGCATAATATTGTACAGAGAATTTCGATTGTTTATTATATTATTATTGTTTTGTGTTATGTGTTAATAATAATACAGTTTAATGGCTTAATGTTAATAATATTACAGTTTAATGGTTTACAATAATATTACAGTTTATTGGCCCCGGAAACCTGAACCCCGACCTGGGGCCCTTGGCGGCCCCCTAACCCTAATCATCAGTGCTCGCGCTTCGCTTGCAACCTGACCATTTCACTTCTCGTGGCTACGGCCCTGCTATGACGTGTGTGGCTGAACCGTGTTTAGTTGAATCATGGTAGAAAGAAAAAACAATCAACAATTGTCGGAGGGTGGGGGTGGGGAAACACAAATGTACGGTATTATTTATTTAATAAAATAATATTTAATTTGTATACAATAAAATCTTATCACTTAGAGAACAGATAATGATGTCAAAATATTGTATATACATGGAGGCTTCATGATCAAAAGTTCTTGCCAAGATTTGGTATGTTGGTCCCTGGCGCGGCTGGGCTGCTGGGCCGCGGCTTGGTGCCTGGAATCATAAATAGGCCGTGAGTAAAAAGTTTGCGGAACGCTGATCTACTTAATATCCAGGAAACATTAGGCCTAACTATCTTACTAATCTTTAACTATACTATAATAATTATGATCAACACTCACAACTTTTTTTTCGCATTTACAGTCTTTTTTTCGCATTTAGCACAATTTTCTTCACTTTTTATTGCTATTAATATTATTATCAATTATTATTATCGTCATCATTATCATCATGATGATGATCATCATCATTGTTATTATTATTTTTACTATCACTATTAGTATTGCTAAACAAAACTTGCAAAAGTATAAAAACGAAACTGAACCATACAGTATCGCATTTCTATATCTTAAAAGACCTGGCCTGAGATTTATGCATTTAAGATTTTTTTTTTTTAATCACGCTTAGGCCTATGTGTTCTATTAGGCTTATGTATAACGTATACTGATGCATATTTACATGATTTAGAAGTATTCATTTTGAGTGATCCCAGGAAAGAATTTGTATTGGCTCAAGAACAAGCTTTAAAATTTTAACACTGTGTACAAAGGGGGGGGGGCGGCTCCCACGCCCCCCCCCCCGGATACGTCCCTGCTGAGCCGAGCTGGAGCGAGATTCAATATTGCCTACTAAAATATGCCAGACTTTTACCCTGTAATAGAAGATAAAAAAGCAAGCTATTCGGCTAGTTTATAGCCTAACCTAAATCTAAATATGGGCTAAATATGATAAAGGTCCAAAATATCACTCTAATTACAGATACCATGATTAAGCCACCAGCCACCAACTGAAATTATCTTTGGTAATCAAGTTAATGGCAAGACTGTATGTAAGTTGTAATTATAAAATCAAATAGTAAAATATGCGTTAAAATAGCTCTCCGTTTCAATCTATACCACCGTTTATATAGGTAGGAATGTTAACACATTCAGAAGTCACCAGAAGCGAGTGCTACAAGGCACTCGCTGACCGGTACGGAGAGCAAGTTTAAAGTGTTGACCGATTTAAAGGCATTTATAATAATTGTATAAGAAACGAACATGCACTTGAAATGAAACTCTTGTAAATTCACCGCAAATTTTAAACAGCGACTAACAAGAAATCTCAGCAGACTATATCAATCACGCGCCGAAGAAGATGGGATTGAATGACGTCAGTGCATGCATATCAGACGTCAAGTTATAGTATTTAAACACTATTTAATGTAATTACGATTTGATTACACAGCTCAGAGATAAAGAAAAACATAAACATCTAAGTACAACATATATCAACATTTATTATACAATATGGCAAAACAATTAGATTCGATTTCAGATTAAAATAAGCTAAAATAGCCACTATAACGGCGGCGAAACACGAATGAACTTAACATGTTAGATTGTGATCCTTGTTGTGTTTTCCTTTCTTGTGAACAATTTCATAGAGAATTTCTATTTTCCTATGACAGGAATAGTATTTTTGACGTATGTTCACTTATTTCAGTTGACTCATGTTTCCAATACTGCGAGCATTACCAGTTTAATTGTGTATATTGTTCAGTTGACGAGGAATTTAAAATCATCGTGCCTGTATTATTTCCGTTTGCACAAATACAAATACAATAAAAAAAAAACACGTAACTCCTAGTTTGTAGCCTCCCCAACTTTATCTAAATCGTGAATTGATTGATATTACATTTCATTAAAAAATTATCACCTTCACAACCAATTTCAATTACATATTTATTCACAGAATTTTGATAATTTAGTCATAATTTATGGGCCTACCGATAATGATATGGCGGGGTAAAAATTCTTGTTTTGGTATGCAGATTAGTATGCATCGAAGTTTCTCGTATGACGTAGAAGCTGAATGAATTTAATAGCTAACTTTTCTGCGAAGTTTGGGGTAACAGTTTTGTGCATAATTACGCATGCGCACATCAAAGTAGGCGGAGCCAAATCAGCAAACTGTGACGTGCTTTATTTCAACAAGAGAGCTTATATACATCATGAAGAATAGTATATACTTTTAAACGTTACAAATAGAAAAACTATCGTAGAATGTGAGTTTTAGTACAAGTAGAATAAATGTGGCTCAAAAAATTGACAATAAAATTAGACTTGTCAATTTTTTGAGTCCCTTTTCTTTAAAATTTCTTTTTACATTAAATATCTGACAGAATATAAGACTTGAAAGGGTAAAGCAATACACTCAACGAACGAATACCATTTATTTACACGAAAATCCTAAAATATGTTTTTGAGTAAGGCCTGCGTGCAAACAATTGCGCGCAAAAATTTGATTCTAGTTACTAGAATAAAAATATAGGATAGCAATATCATTTTGATTGAGGAGGATATGTAAACATGCATGTAGGCCTAATTAGATGAGATTTATCTACTTTAATATTTATTCATTAATTGTATTTTATTCTTTGGGAATATCCAAATCGAGTTTGTGTGACTCAATTTCCAGAAAAATATAATGAAATAAGAACCATCGGAATTTTGCATAATACACCAAAGTCAGGAAGAATCATGTTGTTTCATTAAAACAGTACAAAAATATTTCTAATACTTTGAGGAAATATGAAACAAATCTCTCCAAGTCGTGAATATAAGCGATTATAGATAATTAATATTATTCGTCTAAAATTGTTTAACGATATGAGACACAAAAAACAAGGTCAAACTTATAATCGTCAACCGAGGTCGTACGATTTAAACTTGTATGCGATCTGCTGTTTGATAATCCGTAAGTTATCGAATGCAAAGCGCCTTAAAGTTGTATCTTATCGTCTGTATTGCCCATCTTCGTCGTTCGTATGTCTCACTAGTTGAAGCAGTTTCTCTATTAGTGTCAGTTCCTCGATTTCCTTCATCAGCTCAGCCAGAGTCTGATAAATAAGAAGGCAATCAATCAGAAAATACATATCAATAATCAAAAAGCCATCAATAAGTCAATAATCAATAACTGTAATAAATTATAGGATATTCAGGCCCTTCCTCTTTTGTCAGACTTTAAATTAAATAAAATCAAACCGGTTTTGATTCAAACCTTTGATATTTCTAAGTTGATGCAAAATGTATTATGAACGACCATCACCAAATTACACCAGCTAAAGATGCATTTACACCGAATCCGATTTTCGGATCGAAAAGCCTACCGAACCAATCGGAAAATCGGATCAGTATGTAAGAATAGGGATGCTGGCGCTTCGGAAACATTAGTCACCTACCCTGTCTAAGCGTTGTGGCTCAAACATAGTTATCGTAAATTAAGCTAATCGCAAACATTTTAATTAAGCTAATCGCAAACATTCCTAATTATTATGTTTCTTACACCAGTGCAATCACAAGATGAATAATAACGCAAACCATTAGTGCTGGTGTTAATATTATCTGATTATCATTTCAAATCAATAGTTTTATCATTGCAATATCTATCGAGTGGCAATATCCGGTAACATTCGATTTCAATTTTTATTTGCAAGTCATCTGAACAAAATATTTTAACACTACCAAATACTACCAAATTTCTACCAAAGTAATTATAATGCAACTGAAAAAATAAACCTCACTCAAATATAACGATTTGACGTAAGCACTATTGTCTAGCTAAGCTGTTTTAGCTTGCAGTTATTTTCAGTTTCTGTTTTTAGGTGGGATTTGTTAATGTCGCAATCCATAATTTACAAGAGTGTAAAATACCGTATAAATGAATATGTGGCCAACTGGTTAATGAAATGGTCCTTAACCTGTTTTAAACCAATTTTTATAGAATAATTTGGAAATTGCTGTACGAGGAATACGTATTACCATTAGCTTTTAATGTTGAATGTTAAAAAAAATTATTGTACCATCTACCGTCAAAACCACGTTTGGTATTAGACTGATTACTAGACTGGGTTGTATAACAATTCGAGACCCAAATATAGTATCTCAATTAATAGCTAACATTTTCCATAGAGAATACATGTACATGTTAATCAACGTGAATACAAGATACATTAAAGTCGGACATTAAGCTGCGGTAAATATTACAAACTTAATCGAAATTACATGTTCGCCGTGTGCCATTATTTGCTGGATTGCTTAGTAATTGCTATTTTGATTACATAATGCAACTACGGATTCTACATCATGTTGAGAAAATTGTGCAGATAAATTACCCGGAAGGAGAACAAGTAAACGTTATGTCAATGTCACTGACATTGATTAAATCTGTTTTCTAATATTTTGATCATCGTGTTATCTTTTAGTTTCTGTTTTCATAGCTGGCTCAGGTACAAGGGTGGCGCCAGCGGAGGGGGTAGGATCCTGGCGCCACCCCTGCTCAGGTAGGCGTTTACTATGTAGAGTTATGATAAATGTATTACGTTGATTTTAGTTTGCGGATTTCGTACATATATTCTAGGTCTAATAGTAATAGTTTGCAAGAACCGTGGCGATATTACTACTCATCAATTCTTTTGCAACTTACCGTTTGTGTTTAGCTGATGAACTTGGAAAAATAATTGAATATTTGTATTACATTATATTTTGTAATTCTGTTAGTATGTTATTGGCTTTCAAAAGAAAGCGAAAACAATTTCTTTCCAATTTACAATGCTCATTTCTATAATCTTTTTATATAGACCCTTGAAATTTCCTTGTAAAGAGTCCTAAATAAATTTTAAAAATAATAGGATTGATTTGTGCAATTGGTCGTTTATCATGTACCGGTATATGTTCAAAATAATGTTTTCATATGATTTTTAACGACGAATAAAACGATACTCTTCTGTAATTACAGATATCGTGTCTATAAAAAAAGTGTATACACATATGCTTGAACAATTGCAGTCGATTGTTTTTCTATTCCGAATTTCTAAATACAAACTACTGTTTAGAATTGATTATAATCCGTAAGTCCGCATCTGTTTAGCTGTTTCTTTAATACATTTTATGTAGGCCTGTTATATTTAAATGGGAATCTTACTATTTACCGTAGCAAAGTCGGGATTTTCATTCGTTTCAGCTACAATACTACTTGACGTGTCTATATCCGAACCCTCTGACTCTAAATATTCGTCTATCGTGTTTTGAAAGACGTCGTTTTGGTGGGCGTTGCTTGGCTTATTGGGCGTATACACTTGTTTTAGACTTCTCGGTAACGGGTTAAAAAATTCCTGACTCGATGCACGACGCTTTGAGCCGAAAATGCTCCTGTGGATTTCGTCACCGTATGCTTGGTATCCGGCATGTGGGCCTGGCAGATACATTCGTGGTTTTCTGGCATCGATCAAATCTTGTGGATTCAGATGCTTTACAATTTCATACAGTTTCAAAAGCTCTGCTGGATCTGGTACGTTACCGATATCCTGTTTACGTTTTGACGGCATCTTCAAATTAGCACTTCTATGCGCTAAGTATTTCCCCTCGTTATAGTCGGGGATGTCGAATATGTGCCCCCGGCGACTTTCAAATTCTGGAGACACAGACACAACGTGCGATAGAAACTCCCCAAGTTCATTGGAATCGTCAGTAATCTCTGGCAAGTAAATGTCAGAATTCTCGCTCTCACTCTGTACTTCATCTATGTCAAATTGACCCAGGATATAACTGGAGCTGCTGCCTAACGCATCGGCTTCGTCTACGGTGTCCCAGGCATCATTGCTATGTCGCTTATCTTGGAGACTACGTTTCCTCTTGCTTACAGAAGGAACTATATCATTTGCAACCGTGTCAATATCAAATGGTACCCGGAAATCGTCTGCCCCTAATGGTTAAAAAAGAAAACAAGAAGAGGTCTTGAATATTCTTCGGTAAATTCTGTACAAATATTGCAAACATGTCTAGGCCAGTACATAAATCTAAATACTGTATGGACATGACAGTTCAGAAAGGAAAAAAAAAACAGAAAGCACAACACACCATTCATAAGCAATTTTTAATAAACATTAATTTCAATACTATTTCGATTACATTCGCTACTCGAACCATCAATCAGGGGAGCTGTCCGAAAAGGAGGGGGAGATCGAATGACGACACTGCTGTGGGGCGTCCGGGACAGTTTTGTTTTCTAGACTCCTGGAAATAAACTCTGAAGCGTTTCTTTTTTTTTTTCATTGTTTTTATCTTTTTTTTTACTTTCCAAAAGGTAGGGGGTAGGTGGCAGAGCCGGCCCGCCCCCTAAATCCGCCCCTGTCAATGGTTAATAGCCGTATTAACATGAATGTACACACATGAATAACAACGAAAATTTAATAAAATGCTACTGCCGGCAAGTCACAATCGAACAAATGAGAAATGTGGTAGACTTAATATGACAATTTACTAATCTCATGTCGTCATTCCTATCGCCTACATGTGATCAAGTGCCGTCTCTTTCTATTTAAACAGGATCTTCCTGATAATGAACACGTTATGTGGCAATTGAGGCTTTCATATTGCCGATTCTATTTGCTTGAGTAACATGACTAATCACCATTAATCAATGATAAAATAATGTATAAATATTAATGTTTCTCTGCTGTCGACAAGTTAGTGATCCGAATATTAGTATGATTTTTTTTGTAAATTTAGAAATGAATTTGTGTGCATCTCTAGTAATACAAACTTTGAATAAACATCCGTCCAACAAATGGATTTTTGTTTTCGTATTTAACTACAGGTCTCCCTCAAATTAAAAGACCACTTCAAGGGACCAGGGTTTTCATGGCGTTTAAAAGCGTTGGCATTAAACTTAGTAAAATGATTTAAGATCGGCATTCATTTGGGGCTGCAGAAAAGTGGTCTTTAATTGGAGGTGGCCTTTCTTTGGAGGGGTCTTTAATTAGAGGGACACATGTACGTATTCTACAACAGTCAGAGTTGACAGTTGGTGAAGTACGTCGCCAATAGGGATTACAGTATCAACCTAAGGTATAGTGTATGCGAGTTCTGATACAGCAAACGCTTAAAACATGATCCTGGGTCTGTACTTGTCTACACAGACAATGAGCAATGTCCGATACAGGCCTCCCTCTAATTTCAGACCACCTCCAATTAAAGACTATTTTTCTGTGGTCGCATATTAACAAATGTCTATTATCTTTATCATTCTAATTAGAGACCAAAGCTGCTAAAGCCCATGGAAACCCAAGTTCCAAAAAGTGTTTTTTAATTAAAAGGAGACCTGTATATCGCATTTCTGCATGCTTACTGCAAAATATGAACAAAATTGATAACATAGTACACTATTAGTCGTTTTTAAACTTTAACAAATTACTGACTCACTCAAAACAAATATACATTAGGCCAATGATTCTGTTTACTCACCTCTTTTTCTCATTCCTTCGAGTGTCGGAAAGTTCACTGCATAATATTTAAATAAATCTATTCCCCTCTTTTCTCTTCTCTCTCCTATCTTATTCCAGTCGGCATCCCAAGTGTCCAACTGAGTGTCACCGGGTCGTGGATACCTTGCCAAAACTTGATCGATTTCTGCACGTTTGGGATCAACGTCTTGAAAGATCCCACCTACTTCTGAAACCTCTTCAGATACGCTACTAAACTGATCATAAGTTTCGGAAGCACTAACGCTAATGTCAGAATATGACGAGAAAGACGATGATCCATCTTTCCGTAGAACATCTTCGTTTTTTTCATCTTCGGATAAATCTACGCTGGTCTCTTGAGGGTTTGCATTTGAACGTTTTCTACGAGTTTTCACTCCATCAATGACCTCCTCATAACCATCAACCTCGTCGGCATGCACCCCGTTGTCTTTGTCGCCCTCTTCCTTTTGAAAATTATTAACAAACGTGTATTTTGACGGTTCCTTAATCGTATCTTTTGTATCGGCTTCGGGAAGCGTATTGTCAAAATTTTTGCCGTCCGATACCACCTCGCTAAATTCTGACATCCACGATAGTTCAGGCCAGTCGCTATATTCACCCACCAAGCTAAGCAAATCTCCATAATCAATTTCACCGTCCAACCCCACTCCAATTTCCATTTCGCTTGGATCATCGCTAGCCATGCTAACTTGTAGTAGTTCATCTTCTCCTACATTAGGCCTACCATCAATGGTATCGATGAACCCGCGGTTGTTTTCTAACGAGCTAGAAGACATATCTAATACTAGATCGTCTGTGTCAGATGGTACAACCTCTGAAGAAGGAATGAATATCATGTCATAGGGTGCATCATTAGGTAGAATATTTGATGAGGAATAGGCGATAGTATTATTCGGGTTAAAGTTTGCGAATGGGTTTTCACCCGAGCTTTCTGTTGCTGCTTCTTTCGTTTTAGATTCTACTGGTCCACGCGATGTTGCCTCACCACCCATGAAATTCACTTCATCTAAATAGGATATAAAATAAACATGTATGTGTATTAATTCAATATTTTTGTGACCACAAACTTTCACTACATCATTGGGAAAACAATGTTTTACAAAATATTACAGTACAGTACGAAGATTAGCTACGATGCAACATCCGTGACGTGCGCATCTCCCGGGCGCATCTATGGTCCCGTGGCAAAAATAAAAAATAGCTGTAATGGGCCCTCGGCCGAGTTGGGCCCATAAGGAACAGCACGTAAAAAGCCAATTCAAAATTCGCAAGGAAAACGTCAAAAAAACGCTCGAAACTCTGACCATATGCGGCCAGGCCTCCGGGACAGTAGGCCCGTAAGCGGGGAGGGAGGACGTATGGATCTTCGGCCGAACCACCCCCCCCCCACTTTTTGAGTACTTACTGTAGTAGAATTTTATCATAAACTTTGTTTATTGAAGGAACACTTCCAAGTTAAATTTGGCCTAAAGGAAACCCCCTTCCCATGAACCTGGTTACGGGCTTGTTAGAAACCTTAACCAGGGACATCATGCCTCTTTGGTACACCATTGATCTATGGTCGTTTGGCCGTCTGACATCAGGCCTACGATCAAATGAAAGAGTATCCACTCAGACATGTCGTGTTGATCGTCGTTGACAACAATTCGACGTCCGACTTACTCAGCGCGCAGTCGCCGCAACATTTCTCTGTGGGATGGACTCCGAACTAGATGTGTATAAGAGACAGGCTCGTCGGTGACCCTGCTACGACTAATACAGTCAAATAATAACAGCAATTAGAATCGATTATGATTCATACGAACGAACGACAACTCAAAAAACCCCAATTATCATCTTAGGTTTGATGCATATTTTCAATATTTTGTTTTACTGTATCTGTTTTAATGCATAACATTGACGACGATTTATTTATTTATTACAAATTCGACATTATACAAATGTCCAACAGGAAAACCATGGGCCTAGGGCCCAACACAAAAGTAGGTACCTCTTGACATAAAATAACATTCTATATGTTAATAGCAATACTTTTCATTACGCTCCAAATAACTAAAGTTATAGATCCTTACCATAAAATTATTAAAATTTCGAATACATACTTAGATAAAGAGTGAAGATAATTATTGCAATAAAATGTTACTTAAAACTATGTATCTTTGCTTGCCATCAAAATATTAAAATTACTAGTACGAGGCCTACACAAAGTGAGTTGCTCATTATCGTACCTTAATTGTTTTATTTATACCATTTAATGGTAAAAAAAATAAATGACAGTGATCTATTTTAGGTGATTATAAAAGAAATCGTGCAATGGAAATAATATTTTCATGAAGTTAAAAATGAACTTGTTCCATTCAGCGAGGCCGCTGCGCTACGTTGAATGGAAACAGTCCACATTCTTACCATTACACTCATATTCACTGTATGTATAACATTTAGCGTACGCCTACCTTGTACATTTGAATCTTGTTTTAACAGTTCATTGCCTGCATCATCTTTCAAGACAGGTGCAGCAAACACGTTTTTACTGCACCTCAGAAAAACACTCACCATGACAACAAATGACGCGCGGAATAGTATCATTGTATAACCTGGCAAGAAGATAAACATAAGGGTGAGAACATTAATAACGAATGCAGCCCGTGGTTAGGAAAATGGTTTTCAACGATCTGTAGGTGTAAATACATAATTATTTATATCGTTTCACCAACTCCATTCAACTTCGAGTTGGTCTGTCATGGCCCTGTTATCGAACGGTACTACGGTAAAGAGCGGAGGCTACGCACTGAACATTAACTGAGAGTCTTGCATTACCACATAAGGATGAATTGTTAAAGTGATGAATGACCAAAATTTAGCGTACATTTTTTTTGACAAGGTAATAGTATACAAAATATTTTGGACTTTTAAACTTGACATGGCAATTATTCCATTATTTTTTCAGAGTGAGTGAGACGCAACATATGTTTGAATCGAATTTTCTGTCTGCCTCTACAAATTTTGTCATCTGAAAAATAGCGTTTCTGCTCAGGTCAGAATTTTTAAAATGTCAGATAAAACAAATGACGAGCTTAGCGAACCTGACCACTATATCCAGGACACGAAACAACATAAATTGCGCCAAGAACCTAAATGAGCGGCGATAAAAAATCGTCTGCCGTATGCGCTTCAAGTTGCTATAGGGGCTAAGTAATGTAAATATAATATGAGCTAGTCTGTGAATTGCGAAACTGAATTGATCGTCGGTGACAACTCAATGGACCATCCTTGTATTTCTAATGGCCTATTTTCCAAAATACTCGATATGAAATCATTTCGATATAAACTCTAGGAAATATCAGTATGCTGTTTTTCTATAACATCCGCAAACAGAAAAACAAAATGGTGATTTGTTGTACATATAACTCCCGATACACAGCTGTTTTATAGTTTAGTCCTCTTCTTTTGATAGGGTCCCTAAATATGCAGCGTCCTTTTTTTCTTTTACAATGTTTCTGCTTTTATGGCACACTGACTACAGCGTTAGTGCGGTAACAAGTCCCGTCATTACTTAATGTACATTCGATCATTTAGGCTATCATATATCGTTAACTGACTGTAGGCTAGACTGTACATCAAGAAATAATCATTGGCATAATGATGATAAATGACTAAATTTAATTTCGTTTTTGCATTGGAAATTTAACCGATACTATAACTTTTCGGGTCTGAATCAAACATTGATAAAACGTAGTGCCACGAGCATATAGACTATTAATTTATTACGGTAATTATATGGGTTAGTGTATTCATTTGCTGTGTGTATACATTAGCTAGCATGTTGAAAGACTCTATAGATTTTAACTCCCTTGCAGGTGATATTTATGTGTCTAGCCTAGGGACATCACTTGATTAAATATTTGTGTGAATTTGTACACGCATCGCTCTGTGTATTTTGAATGAATTGATATACAGTAATTGTTAATGAGCTGGGAATGTGCTATAGTGGACTTACAATATGCATACTGTTATGATAAAATTATTGGCTTTAGCCTATCATGGCAAACTGGCCGAGGACGCACCAGTGGAAGCCTTGCGAGAAACCGTTGAATACATGCATCTTTAGGGGTCGTTAACATTATAAGCATTTTCACAAGTGTACAAACGGTACGCTAGTGGGGAGGGTGTAGACAAATTTGTACATGCATAAAAATGTTGATTCAAAATAACATGCAATATGTAAAATAATATCCAGAAGCTAATAACCTGTCTCTTATACACATCTAGATGTGTATAAGAGACAGCCCCCAATCCCCGGAGCCATTTTGATCCACTCTATCCACCAAATAAAAATCCTGCGTTCGGGCCTGCTTTCTCCATCCAAACCATGCTAAGACTGTAAAAATGCTTTTTCAAAAAATTGTTCCCCCTTAATGATTGGCTCCTTCCCCGATTGGGTGTCCAGTGTTCTCCGATGGAGTCCTATGCCCCTCCCCAGATCTCCTATGGTTCCGCCATTGAGACAGAAAACTAACATGATTCTACTTTATCAGAGCATTACAGAGACTCCTGGAGCTGCAACATTAGTTGGGGTCAAAATAATCTAACACAAACCGATACACATTAATACCTTTCGGTTGAATTTTCGTTCCTGGGAAAAATATTATTTAAGGGTAAGAGTAATTAAATTATTTATTAATAGGTCCTTATAAATTTCATTTTACGCCTAGATTGAGGTGAGAAAATGAGAAGTAACATCCGATAAAATGCCAGTTATTACCGCACTCGATAGCTCCAGTGGGAATTCCCCCTTCTAGTTTTCAATTGACATGTGCTGCCGAAAAAACGGCGGTATCTGAACCTTGCTTTAATAACATAACAGCTCTCAGCTGAATTATATACTAATTGTCTACAGGAATTAATCAGCTCGCGACCCGAGGCTGTATTTTAGGTCTAAACCTATTATTATTTTTTTAAATTTTATTATTGCATGTTTTATTTATGGTAATTTATTGGGATTAATACTCAAACTCGTGAACAGGTGAGCCTGGTCCCGCTTTACCGGGCAGCGCAGACACGCGACACTGTCCCTCAATGGAGAAGATAGTTAAGGTACTGAATGAGCTATAATCCACGTTTTGAGCGTTCTGATCTTCATGAAATAGGGCTATGTAAATGCTATAAAGTAAACCAATTTACTACAATTACAGCCGTATTATGGAAAGAATCGTATAATAACATCAATATAGCGAATTCGATTTGATTTAGACCTAGGCCTACATAAAGTTATATTCAAGTTTAGACTACCATGTGCTAGTAAGTGCACTTTATTATCTCAACCACTGTTCGTTATGTGAAACAGTTGTCTACTTTACGGGGATTGTACATAAAAAATAAACCTCAGCGGGAACATTTATCAGTATTTGGATCGTCTGTATATAAAGTGACTTTCCCGCGTGTTTACACGTCAGAATTTTAGTGAACCTCATTTATCCTTACCTATTAGGACATAAATCACGAGCGCTCAGTAAATTGTTCTAGATATAAAGAGGAATAGTAGGAATAACGTAGTGCATGGGCGCGCCACTTTGAGGCTCTACACAATTAACATTAATTAAGTTATAATTGGTCGAATGGCCACATCTGAAACCATCCAAACTGGTTTTTTTTTCTCAATTCTCCTTCATATAAATAATTTCATTGAAAACGTTTACTTAACGACATCATCGGGCGTATAGCAATTAATGAGATTACTTGTCCATCGGTGAATACTGTGATATGTACATTTCGATTGCAAAATGTAATGCATTAACATTTTTGGTTGAATCAGTGAGGTAGGAATAAAAACATGTCCACCTGAGCAATTACAGTGGATTCGAAACAGATGTGACATTTCTTCTTTTTTTTTTAAATGAGAGAATTTCCGATGATATACACTTTGTCGCCTGGCAACGCGACGCATTAAATTTGCATCTACTGAGATGCAAAGATTGGTGGACAGTCGGCTCTTACCTAATAGGTCGTAATAACACAATAGTTTTAGATAGTCAAATACATAATATTTTTAGATAGTCATAATATCTAAAACTATTATGTACCAATTTATGATAATGTTGGTGGTATATCTGACCAGTGTTAAAAAAATCTTAATACCACAACATTCGAAACCATGTTGGTTTTGCATGTTATGGTTCCAATATAACACATCGCATTAGCTATAGAACACTTCACAAAATCGTACAAGATTCGAAACCGAGAATGATTGCCTGTTATGGTTCCGGTAGCTCATACATTCACGTTAACTAACACACTTCACAATCGCCACAAGATTCGAACCCGAGAAATGCATGTTATGGTTTCAGTATACACTTCAAATTAGCTAATACACTTCAAAATCGGCACGATTCGAACCCGGGAATTATTGTATGTTATGGTTCCAGTAGCTCATACACTTCAAGCTAATATACTTCACAATCGCCACAAGATTCAAACCCGGGAATTTGTGCATGTTATGGTTCCAGAAGCTAATACACTTTCCGTGCATGTGTTTTGATGTTATTATTTTATTACTTTTTATTATTTCAGTAGCACACATTTTCACATTACTGTGTTCAAAAGAGATATAATATTCAGATGAAAAAAAAACATCAAAACAATCAAATTACTAAGCACACAACAAATGGAAAGATTGGCAGGAATGCAGACTGGAACTAAAGAAAACACAGGGTACTTAGCAGACGACTGTAAGACAGTTAAAATGTTATATATATATATAGACGGAATTTATTGAATAATGTTCAAAATTTTATTTTGAATCACCGTATCCTTACATAAGGCTATAAGTTAATTGTATTACCCGATATTGATGTACTACATGAGTTGTGACTTTTAAATTACAAATAACGTTTTACTTCATTAATCAAATCGAATTTTACATTTTGTTCCCATCCCATTATAGACTATCTGTGATAATAAACCAGGCGTAACATCAGTATTGGATAGCAAAATCATATGAAATTATTGAAAGATTAAAAAGAATAAAAATATTATTGAAAGAATAAAGTAATCATTGTGTTTACCAGACCATTTTGAAACCAATGATAACTTCTGAACACATAATAGGCCTATTTGTTTTTCCGGAAGGGACGGACAAACCACTAAATAGCCTAGGCTTAGATGTGTGTCCTTTAAATTAACGAAAAAGTCCCAAATTGAAAAAATTATATAAGGGGGATTCGAATAAATTCGTGCTATGATGACATCGCGAATAACTTATGATAATATATAGCATTTTATACAATGATTATTAATCATGTGACGGTGAATTGAATTCTGGTAATGCTGCCGGACATAAACGACTTATTTAATCAACATTACATTATAGTTTAGATAAGTGAGATGAGATCCACAAAGAATTAATGACGCACAAGTCTTTGCCAATGGCAGTGACCATACATTACAGTTAATATACGAATGCAGTAGAAAGATGATGCTTGGAACGTAGCTTGTGAGTTACTGGTTGATGATAATAATACAATAACATTGGATGCATAATAAGGATGATGATGATGATAATTTCACGTTTCATGTTTACTTTATATTACAATGTATTCATTGCTTTGTTGATCATTATCAATTGTGTATAACTACGAAGAATTAATTATTTTGTTCGAATTCAAATACATTTTCATGCCACTTCGATATTAATTATTCCATTTACTATGCATGAATGCTATACACTAATGTACACAGATCGAATCTCAATGAAAATTTATCCATTCATATGCTGAGTGACTTCTGTACATTGTATGTGTACAACATCGATAGTGTTAGTGATCGTTTAACCAGTACCGACACCGTAAAATCAGAACGTCAATGTTACTAAAAATAGATCTCGAAGAATTATTTAATCGATTTCAGATTCAATTAATAGGCCTATGTAAAAAATACATTTCTTTTTCTACCCGACCAATTGTGTTTTTTTTCTGGCCCTGCCTCCCGCACACACCGGCCCCGCTGGCGCCACCCCTGTGATGATGATAATGACGAGGTTATTTAACCATTGTTTGTTTTGGCTAATGAATAATAGAATTAGGCCTAGATTTAAGCTGACTAACCGAACACGTTTTTTAAAAATATTCCCGTAAGCCTACTGTGGCAAAACATCGACTTTTACGAATGCTGAAAATAATCAGAAAATAAATGCAACTAATGAAAATAATAAATATCCCTAAGCTTATATTTTTACATAAAGTAAATACATACAAGGAAATGAGACGAAGATAAATGAAAGAAGGGCATTGGAATCCATATTATTTCCCCTGCTATAATTATAGTCAGCGTGTCATTTAATCTCTTTATCAAATCAATAAGAATAACAAATTACTGTACGAGCGCATCAATTTGGATCCGTTCGTCCCTGAAACGATTCGGCCTAACACTTTCTGTTGTAAAGTTCGAAGTGGAATTAAATCGGACCATGGAGCTATATCGGACGCACAATGTCGGAATATGATTTCCATATATAACACTGCGCATGTCAATGCAATTGCTGGTCGAAATCAAACTGCACGTAGATGTGTCGGATTGTGAACTGTGCACTATGATGTATGATAATTGTTTTGGGTGAATCTATCGGTGCGCGATATCAACGACCGTCGGTTCTTTTTGAAAGGAGATTATAATATTTTTCTAGAGTAGGCTATCTCTCAGAGGCCGTTCAGTATGTTACGAACATTTTGAATCAATACACAAAATGCCTGTAGGTCTATATCATAAACAATACAGACAGAAAAAAATAATAAAAAAGAGAAATCAAAAATAGAAACAGGCTAGAAGTTAGGATATGAAGTTAGAGTTTGAGCTAGCGACGCTTTCATAATGGTCTTCTGGGATAAGGAGCAAAAGAAAAGGAAAAATAATAAAAAAAAAAAAAAAAACGGCGAAAAAAATGTAATTCACCTAATTTTATTATGCTATAATATGGTGCATATTGTCATAAGTTCGACTGCTTCAGCCAAGAAAGAAGAGTAGTGCAATATGATGAACATTTGAAGAAAAGTGAGATGACAAGGGATTTTAAGATTGAGTATCAGAATGATAGAATAGAAGGCCTATAAGAAGCTACTGTTGATTCCTATGGAACAATATTCATTTCCCCTGTACTGCACTATAGGCCTAGGCCTATTGTGAACAAAATCTAATAATACGCTCTTAAAATCTAATTGCAATTATGCCGCAAACGATTTAATTTCTTATTCAATACGAGTGAAAAAAATATCTGATCCTTTCTTCGGGTTACTTTTCTAATTAACAATAAATTCATTTCATATTAATGAAAAACTTACCGCCACAAGAAGCCTGGTGATTAAGAAAATTAGCAGTGATGATCTGTGATACACCTTCGTCTACAATCGAATTATTTATAATATCCTGTGTTAGAGAAAGAGGATGAATAGCCGTCACGCTTGATATTCTTCCTCGCAAGATTTTTCCGATTACTTCGAGGTTGAAAGCAAACGTTGCTATGCGGTATCTCACTATTCTAATTTACTCCTGAAGACGGTGATTCGACTCTCGCAGGTTGTCGAACAGGTCAATGCATAAGCACTTCGAAGCTGATGTTTGCAGCAGTCAAATGACGTTTTTATTAGAACACTGCGTGTAGGCCTAACATAAACGCGTTGGTGAGCATATCCTCTGAATCGAAGACTCATTTGAACACTCTATAGATCTGTCTGACCACAAAACGTTAGCTTCAAAGGCGGTGCTAAAAGATTTTCGGATCAGCATAAGTGCTTAATGTTAAACCTTAGTATCAGTTAATTATTTTAGAAAGCAGATTCAAGGTCACTTATATGCATATCATTTTCATTATTACATTGAATAAAGAAATTATAGATGGTCCTACATCACCCGGATGGAAAATTATATTGTAAATTTTTCATAATACATTTTTTAAGAACAAATTCATATAATACATAATGTACGACTTTAGTATTAATCGCTTCAATAAGAATAATGATGACCACTCCACGTTATGCTGTAGGCTACACATACATGTGATGTCACGTTTATGTTAAGTGCATTAAGACATCACTAATAGAGGAACTGCGATTCATTTTATTAAATTACTATAATTGTCGTATTATTGTCATCATCATCAGCAATATAATCATTCTCTTTATATTCGTCGTCATCATCTTTATCATCATCATTATCATAATAATTATTGTTATTATCAATATCACCATAATTAATCCTATCATTGATTTATATTCAGAACAGGCCACGTATTAATTATGGTTAAGATCACGATAATTATAATGATGATGATAATAATGATTTTCACCTAAATTTATCCAAAATGATTTTTCTTAAGAGGCGGCACACGATACTATAAAACATTTTTTTTTAATTAACTGAGCCTATAAAAATATATTTTAAATTATATCACTTAAAAAAAATAAATATCAGTTTCTGTGAATTTACGCATAAGGTCTAAAACTACCAGCTATAAATATACTTACAGGATGCCACCTCCTTTAACCCTGGAATTACCGGCATTACATAACATGGGACTGTTATTGTTTTGCTATTGTGTAGGTGGTTTAGTCGTCGATAATCAGCAGCAGATCCAGCGCTCAATATCACATACACCTGGATGATGATGGGATCTCTTAATCCTTATCACTCTCCTGAAGGCAAGGCGACAATAATAATAATAATAATAATAATAATAATAATAATAATAATAATAATGATGATGATGATGATGATGATGATGATGATGATGATGATGATGATGATGATGATGATGATGATGATGATGATGGTGGTGATGATGATGATAATAATAATGATAATAATAATGATATAATTAATGATGATGTTGGTGGTGATGATGATGATGATGATGATGATGATGATGATGATGACGATGATGATGACGCTGCTGACGAGGATTACGATGACGATGATGACGACGGCAACTATAATGATGAGGATGTTATGACGATGATGATGATGAGGGTGGTAGTGATAGTGAATTCGATGGAGGTGATGATGTAATAATAATAATAATAATAATAATAATAATAATTATTATTATTATTATTATTATTATTATCATTATTATTAATATAATAATTAATTATTATTAATATAATAAATAAATGGTGATGGTGATGGTGATGGCAACGATGGTGCCTACGAGGATTACGATGACGATGAGGATGGTTATGATGATGATAATGGTTATGATGATGATGATGATGATGATGATGATGATGATG